TCTATCTATCTATCTATCTATCTATCTATCTATCTATCTATCTATCTATCTATCTATCTATCTATCTATCTATCTATCTATCTATCTAGCTATGGTTTATATTGGTGGTAATAGCAGACATGTTGGCTTCATATAACCCCACCCAATATATATATATATATATATATATACAAGCACTTAGATGTTTAACAATGAGGACAACTCCACCCCCACCCTGCTACTTGTATTCCGGCATAGACTGGTTTAAAAATTAAATTAGTCTGTGATGGTGGGGTGAATAGGTAAAGTTTTAAAGTGGGTTTTGATGCTGTTAATTTTCTCAAAACTGTACTTTTTAGATGTTGAAATAAAAAAAAATGTTAATTAAGTGTGTCTTGAATGAGACATGCCCCATGTTTAAAAGTATAAAAATTGTATCAACACTATTAAAGAACAGGTCTTAAGTATATATGTTACACAAATATTTCTACTGCATTAAAGAGACTGAAGAAAATTATTTAATAAACATGAGGGTTATGTGGGGGTCCCTGAACCCCAAGAGTTTGAGAAGTCCTGGTATATGGGACACTTTGAATTCTTTAGAAGAAAACAAATCTGTAAGAAAAAAACAAGAATTATTTGTGAGCATTGCCCTTAGTCTTTATTAATAGCCACATATCAACAGCAAGAAGTCCTTTTGAGACGCGTTACTGTGAGCAACTATTCTGAACGCTCTGAGCACTCATGCAAGGCACTCCAAGAATCTATGGAGTGTCGTGGTATAATAACAGCCTCCTGGCTGCTTTTGTCGACAAACAAAACTGTCAGCAGGCGACATATCACCGACAGAGACACAGTCATTCTGCAGAACAGACTGCTCCTGACAAAGAAGCTCTGAATGTGTTTGATTGGTGCAAACTGGAGATCTGTGGGGTTATATGAAGCCAACATGTTCACTATTACCACCAACATAAACCACAAGGAAACGTTTAGTTTAATTTATATTATGCATGAAATATTGTATGCAAAAATAGTTAATTGATAATTATTAAATTAATCAAGCCTTGGGGAATATGTGGAAAAATGAACAGTTTTCTTTTAAAGGTGGTTTCTCACTGGGCTGGAACTGTTTAGTTGGCAACTGAAAATTGCACAAACAGGCAAATTGCACTTTTAAGGATTTCTTGTTTACGACCAAGTGACCAGCAAGACACGTGGCCACATTCTGCACAGCCACTTCTGGAAAATTGTGGCCTATTTTTACGTGCAACATTTGCAAAACTGAATTCTTGGCTGTAGTTGTTCATATTTCTTCTTTGCCCAAATCTGACCACATTGTACCTGCTTGGCTGCCACCCCAACATTTATTAATTATTCTGAAGTACACTTGAAATGCAAATTAGCATATCTGAACCAGTTTTATTATTATTTTTTATTTATTATTTATCACATGCTTTTAATTAAGATATTTAAGGATGTAGTCTCAAAGGTTTTCTATCATAGAAGAGCTCTCAAACATAACAGTATGTTATAAAACATTTTATTGCACTCTTAAAAAGAGTTTAGAGAAGTCTGCGAAAACGGACAACACTTTGCGACATCCTCAACAACTCTGCAAATATTTTGAGAGAACATTTGTTGCACAAATATTTTTTTGAACATGCATCAAAATCCAAACAAGACTGCAACTCTCCACAAACCACAGAGGGAAACTGACAACCCCCTTTGCTCAGTTGCCATAAAACTTTTATGCAAGTGTTTGAAAAAGGGAGCAGCCAAAAGAACCAGAGAGAACACACAGACTCCACAAAACAGGCTCCTGCTGAGATTTAAAGATGAGACCTTGCTATGACCTGAAAGAGCTTCAACACACTTACATGCAGCCCCTCAGGATGATTATTAGTTTAATTGTGCCCTTAAAGTTGAGCTTTTCTTTAATTAGATCAGTCAAATGAGCAACTGAACTTTGGCTTACACTTGCAAAAACTGCCCTCCTGTGTCACTTGTCAGTGCTTTTGCTTCAACAAACTAACTGATGAACTCATGTGCAAATGAGCCCTAATTGGCTAATTCAGTTCAGACATATAACAATGACATGAGCATTTTTCAGGATCAGTGAAGTTGGACAGACTATCACCACCAGGATCAATAATTTAAAAATATTATAATATAATGTACGTATTAAAGAGGCTGCTGAATGTAATAACAGTATGTTGAGTATTGAGATGTTCTTCTAATCCTTTCTCACACTATAGTTTTCTCATTATTTGTCTCATCAGTCTTGAAAACAACGATTAACGTGCTGCAAATAGACATCAATGTTGTTCCAAACTGGTGATTACTAAACCGAGGGAACAAACTTCCCTGACTTCTAGTTTTGTTTACACTTCTGACACCATCCCTCTCAAGGTCCCTTAGCCCAGGGGTTCTCAAACTTTTTGGGTTCAGGGACCCCTTACAGGGGAGAAAAAGTTTCAGGGACCCCCTCATAACCCTCATGTTTATTGAATAATTTTCTTCAATTTGTCTCTTTAATGAAATGGAAATATTTGTGTAACATAAATACTTGAGAACTGTTCTTTAATAGAGCTATTACATTTTTTTATACTTTTAAACATGGGGTATTTTTCATTTCAGACACACTTAATTAAAAAAAAAATCTAATTTCAACTTCCAAAAATGACAGTTTTGAGAAAACTAACAGTATCAAAACCACTTTAAAACTTTATCTGTTCACATAATGAACATAGTAAATGTGTTGCCATGTCTTCATATTATTACAAAAAACTCTACATAAAACTGAACAGAATCACAACAGCAGTAATCATACCAAGTAACAGGACTTCATTTGTAAATTGATAGATGCTAGAACGTAAATGGGATAATGGGGAGGGGGGGGGGGGGGGTCCTCCCTCAGAAAATTTTGAATAAAGAAGATGTGATTTCCTGCATTTTGGTGTACAGAAGTCTGTTGTTTATCGCAGGGGATCTGTACCATGAAGCCACGCGATAAGTGAAAAACTACGAAGGCGGAATAGTACAAGTAGTAATTAGTTTATTTTAGTATACATACAAAGACGTTTGAAACCCTTCCCACATTCTTGCAATATTCTAAACAATGTTTCTAAACTCTAAACGCTGTAAAAGAGCAGAGAATGATTTCAGCTCTCTGCCTCGGCTGCTCTCCCCGCCTGCAAGCGCTCTCAGCCACGCCTATTTCTCTGCTCTGCATGGCGATCAGCTGTTCAGCTGCAGGAGGAAGCTTATCCTGCAGTGTGGGCTGCACGGAGGTGCAGCAGGTGCTAAATAATTCAAAATAATTTATTTTAAATAAAAATTTGATGCCAATCATGCGGCTCATCCATCAATCAGCCAATTGTGTGCCATGCCCAATCTTTTTTGAAAAACCAGGATAGAGCGAGTCCGCAACTAACGAACTGCAAAGTAGCGAGGGACTACTGTATTTTAATGGGTTGTTAGACATCTATGCTTGT